ATTGGGCCTGCCCTCTGCCACCCAGGAGCAGGCCTAAGCCAGCAGGTTGTTATCTCCCGAGGGGTCCCAGACTGCGAGAGGGCACAGGCCGAGCTGAGGGACCCCCCTTCCTCCCCGAGGGCACAAATTTTTGTGCACCGGGCCTCTAGTATATAAAATAAAATTTCAATTTAATGCTTTTGAAAATGTTAACTTATAACATAGTTTCTGAGCTAATGAGCATATAAAATAGTGAGAGACTATAACCTACTAAAGGGACAGTCCCCTAATTCAACTGTTATATCTGTCTGCCTTCAATTTTCTTTTTTTTTAATGAGAGAGAATCATGGATCGGCTGCCTACTGCATGCCCCCTACTGGGGATGGAGCCCGCAACTCAGGCATGTGTCCTGACCGGGAATCTAACCTGGACCTCCTGGTTCATAGGTCGAAGCTCTACCACTGAGCCACGCTGGCCCTGCTGTCTGCCTTCAATTTAAACTAAACAGAAACTCTTTCCTTTCCTAAGCCCTAAAGCCGCTGTTTCTTTATTTACACTACCTTTAGGAGCTCAGCCCTTAACACAGTCATAACACAAATCAATGAGATTCTTCCTTTACACTTAAAATACCCACAAAGTCTTATGAATGCTGCAAATGCTTTATCAATAGGTTAGGCTTTCTTAAAGAATATAGAATGAATGTCATAGGATTTTGAAGGGCAGAAAAAAGAAAGATTATCAAGATGGAAAAGAGAATGAGAGAAGATTCAAACTCGGAAGTTAAATAATCAGACCAAATGTTTTATATCAGTGCTGTCCACACAGAAATCACTAGCTACAAATGGCTACTAAGTATGGATGGACCTAGAGAAGAGACGGGAAATTTTATTTTTTGCCAAGGGCTATGTGGACATTTATAACATCATTCGTGGGTCATACAAAATTATCAACTTGAAAACTAGCCTGCTATATTTGGTCAAACATTTAATTAACTCACCCCCAATCCCTTGGCAGGGCTAGACCAAATGATTTCTTGGCCTTATAGGGCCCTCGGGCCAGACATTTCCCACCCCTGACCTAGAGGGTATTATGCTGAGTGAAATAAGTCAGACAGAGAAAGACAAATACCAAATAACTTCACTTATATTTGGAATCTAAAGAACATATAAACAAACAAACAAAACAGACTCATAGAAACAGAAAATAGACTGATGGTTGCCAGAGGAAATGAGGGTTGCAGGACTGAGTGAAAAAGGTAAAAGGATTGAGAACAACAGATACGTAGTTACAAAGTAGTATAAAGTACAGCATAGGGAATATAGTCAATAACATTGTAATAACTATGTATGGTGCCAGGCGGATATTGGAAATATCAGGGAGAATACTTTGTAAAGTTTATTATTGTCTAACCACAATGCTGTACAAAATACAAAATTAAAAAATAACAATATTGAATGTAAACTATAATTAAAAACCTTTAAAAAATTAATAAAAGAAAATAATACCCTTTATTTTCTAGCTTACTTTACAATATCATACTGATGCATATTTATAATTACTCTTTACACAACTTTCCCATTCTGTGCCTTCTCTTATGCCTTAATCTCCTCAACTATTCTTCCTCCCTATTCCAATGACTATTTTAAATAATATCTACCTTATAAACCAGCCATGGGCAAACTACGGCCCGCGGGCCGGATCCGGCCCGTTTGAAATGAATAAAACTATTGAAATAAAAGACCGTACCCTTTTATGTAATGATGTTTACTTTGAATTTATATTAGTTCACACAAACACTCCATCCATGCTTTTGTTCCGGCCCTCCGGGTCAGTTTAAGAACCCATTGTGGCCCTCGAGTCAAAAAGTTTGCTCACCCCTGAAACCCTTCCCAGATTATGTGAATCTAAAGTACAGGGAATCATAACCAGCTGATATATTAATAGGAAAAATTAAGAATACTTAGCATTGCTAGAAAATCCCGTTTTAATTGCATGTACATAGTAGAAATGTACATATCTAATATGATAATTGGTGATTTCTAGCATGGCTTCATTAAGTAGTATTTTTGTTTGTTAAATATATTTTTATAGATTTCAGAGAGGAAGGAGAGGGAGAGAGAGATAGAAACATCAATGATGAGAGAGAATCATTGATTGGCTGCCTCCTGCATGCCCTCTACTGGGGATGGGGCCCGAAACCCAGGCATGTGCCCTTGACCAGAATCGAACCTAGGACACTTCAGTTCACAGGCCAACACTCTATCCACCGAGCCAAACCAGCTAGGGCGATTAAGTAGTTCTTTAAAAAACAGGCCCATTACATAGTTCTGCTTTACTTTAGTAATAAAGGAAAATGACATGAACATCAATAGTTAAAAAAAGTCTTGGTAAATTTTTTTAGGAAACACTCAATTGGTTTAGTAACTATGAAATGCTTTATTTATCTTAGTAAGAAAAAGCACCACTATTTCCATGGCATTCTTTTCATTTTCCAGCATCTGGGATACTATCATGTTAACTACAGAAAATAGTAAGGGAGGGGGAAGCAGCTTAGATTTTTATAATATTCTTTTGTTGCCTTTACAGATGATGATAATGATGGCTTCTTTAATATTTTAGGCTTTCTCTACACTGTTCATTTTAAAAGTCCTTGGTTCTGCTCCATTGCTACTATCACTTTTAGTAACTAGCAATAACAACTAAATGGTAGCCAAAAGTAATAACCAAATATATAGTGTCACTATGTTGTCCAAATTTATATAATATTCACCAATAGAATTATTTTTAAAAGCAAATACAGTACACAAAGGCTGTATGTAAATAATTTAGAGCTGCTTCTAACTCAGAATCTGATGGCCAAATTAGAACAGCAATGACTACAAACACTATATTTCATTTAATATGAGATCAATTATGAAGTAAACACCTGTACATTATACAGCATGAAACTTTAATAACATACATTGTATATACAGCTCCCAAGCAGTCAGCTCTAAAAGCCAACACTCTTTTGGGTATTATTTCTAACATACGTGTGTAAAACATCATTAGTGGCCACATTATTGGTTTACCAACACTTCATTCAATAAAGAACTGAGATAGTTTACATTTACATTGTGCCCTGGCCAGGTAGCTCAGTTGGTTAGAGCATCGTCCTGATACACCAAAGGTTGTGGGTTCAATCTCTGGTCAGGGTACATAAAAGAATCAACCAATGACTGTTTAAATAAGTAAAACAACAAACTGATGTTTCTCTCTGTTTCTCTCAGGGTTGGTCTCTCTTCCTGTCTCTAAAATCAATAAATTTAATGAAAAATTTAAAGTATCGTTGTGATAATCCATCCAAATATTGACTGATTAAAGGAAACATCAGACTGAAGTTGAATCTCAACTCTCTGGCCTACTAACAATATGACCTAAATCTAGAGCAACCACTTTTGTCTGGGGCAGTCCCAGATTATACAAGCAGTGCCACTGTAATTGTTAATAGTACCCCTTTTTGACTCTCATAAGTGTTTTAATTTTGGATAACTTAAATATCATCCTACATAAACTCCAATTCCCTTATCTGAAAAAGAGATATTTTAAGAAAACCTATATAAGGTAATAGCTGCTATTATTATTATTATTAGTCATTGATTAAAAGGGCAATATAACAATAACCCAGACTCCTAAAACATTTTTCGTAATTTCTGTCTCCTTTATATTGCCATTCTCACTTTTCTTCAGTAGCACACACACATGCATGCATTAATCATAAGGATGTTTTGAGAGGTTTTTAAAGGTATCTTTAAGGAAACTTGAAAAACTTGGGGCCCTTAGAAGCCTCAGAATAAAGAATAATTAAAGATTTTAGATCATATGACTATCTGGTAATATAACTAAAATTTGAAATAAAGTAAGAGGATAACTCTTTTTCTTCAAAATCTAAAATCTCTAACACAGACTTTGAAAACCAATGGCCCATCCTGAAGACTTTCAGAAACTAGAGCCTAAAAAAGCATAAAGAAGTTACAAAATGAAAAATGAAGAAATTTCAAACTTACCTGAACTGCACAACCCAGTAAAAGTAAAAGCAACTTTTTAACTTCTTCGGTGCCTTGTTCTAAAATAAAAACAATAACTGAGTATAACATTTTACATTAGTTCAATTCTCTTTCTTATATCGATAGAAGCACGTCTATAGGTAATATTCACAACTTGACTAAAAGATTAAGAATGTAAGTACAATGAAAAATTTAAAAAAAACAGCTGTGTGTGCACAATGTGGTAATAGCAGGAGAAATGGACAAGGATCTCAATTTTGAGGAGCTACAGTATAGATAAAATAGGCTTCAAAGTTCTGTGCAATAAAGTATGCTAACTATAAATCCACTACTTTTCCATAAATGATTATACTACACCAGCATACTAAATTAAGAACTGTTGATATAGGGACATACCCCAAGATCAGCCAAAATGGTTCCCAACATATCAGGCTTCTTTTAGGCCAGTGGTTCTCAACCTTCCTAATGCCACGACCCTTTAATACGCTGGCTACTCGTATGTGGCGTATCTGCATGTGGGCGGACCCGCCTGGAGACAAATAGAGGAGCAGTGTCTCAGTTCCTAAGACCATCGAAAATATGTGTTTTCCAATGGTCTTAGGCGACCCCTGTGAAAGGGTCATTGGACCACAAAGGGGTCGCGACCCACAGGTTGAGAACCACTGTATTTAGGCCTATTATTGTTTTATTTCTAAAATATCTTGTATGAGTCATCTACGAGTAAAATTTAAATGGCTTTATACTGTGTAGGTTCATGAGGATCAAAACCTTGTCAGTTACAGCAAAACTGGTAAAAATAATGTATATAATGAGCTGGACAGAATTAATGGTCTGTAACAGAACTGAAGAACACATTTGCTATCCAATTCAACTGAGGTTTGCTTAAAACATTCAGCAGACAAAAAAAAGTCAATTCTTTGGACCAGAATTTCACCATCAGGCCAATCTGGTTTTTGATAAAGTATAATCTTCTTTTCAAACATTTCCTCCTACTCTCCATGAAACAGCCTACTTTCTTAGCTACATTAATCACCTTTCCCTCAATATAAATACGTACAAACTGCCTTAACTTCTGTTACTCTGCCTTTCTTCCCTTCCCTCTTGTCCCTCTACTTACTAATCACAATCCTAGGCACCGCTGTATGAAACACCTCTGTGAAGTCTTCTCTGACCTAACCATCAATGGTCCCAAGCCTCACTAATCTGCCAACTTGAATAAGTAATAGCTCCATATTTTATGTCTTAACATTTTTACATATCTCTATTTTGTACCAATTCTTACATGATTTCCCAGTAATCTATAGCTCTCAACAAAACACAAGGTCCTGAAGAGCATAGACCATTTTCTTTATATTGTTGCTCCCTACTTGGTAGGCAATTACTAAATACATGTGGAAATAAAAATAATTCCATTCTGCCGAAACCGGTTTGGCTCAGTGGATAGAGCGTCGGCCTGCAGACTGAAAGGTCCCAGGTTCGATTCCGGTCAAGGGCATGTACCTTGGTTGCGGGCACATCCCCAGTGGGGAGTGTGCAGGAGGCAGCTGGTCGATGTTTCTCTCTCATCGATGTTTCTGACTCTCTATCCCTCTCCTTTCCTCTCTGTAAAAACTCAATAAAATATATTTTAAAAAAAATAATAATTCCATTCTACATACAAAATATTTTTTCATTTTTTATTTGTATAGCCAAATATCCCAGAATATCACCCCCATCTAACTGGTAGTTTCTTCAATAAAAACAGCTATGTGATTTTAGTTTTTATTTTGGTGGAGGTACGATTTGGAGAAAATAACTTTATTGGGTTACATGCAGCCTGTTAGAAGAAGTCCATTGTTGAAATGGTTATGTAGTTGCTAATTTCAATTATTCAAAAATTAAAACTCTAAATATGTCACATTTTTAAAATCTAATAAAGTATAGGAACTTTTGAAAAAAATAATTTAAATGATCTAAGAAACTGGTTCTCATCTTTCCATTCAGAAGTAATTTATATTTATAAATTACAGTATATCAATCAATAAAACCTTAGACTCAAACAACTGTGGCAATGGTACATAGCAGATATATAAAAAGAAACCTAAAAATTATGTCAAAAACACTTCTAAGGTTATGTTCCTTGAAGCCTACAGCTACATTATCTTCTATCCTTGTTTATGACACACTAAAACTTATCACAGAAAACTATCAATTTGGTGTAGTAGAAAAAAACATCAGACTTAGTGAAAATTTATGTCTGATCCCATCCACAACTTGCAAATATTATGAGTTTATTTTCTCTATATAAAATGGAATATTACCTCCAGCTTTCCCTATAGAGTCATGAAAAACTTGGTCTGTTGATGTAAGTAAGCAAGATCTGGGTAAGCATTCTAGTATTACAAAAGGCAAAGACTTTATTATCACATTATGCTAACGTTAACACTTACCACAAAAGGGGGTTTTGCCAATAATTAAGATATTTGGCAATGACATCATGATCAACTGCTGCAAAGTCTCCTATAAAAAGATATCCAAAGGTTGTTACATAGGAAATGCTGACTAGGTAATTACTCAACAAGCTGTAACTTATGATTTGTACACTTCTCAGCATGCGTGCTATACTGCACTTAAAAGGCTTTTAAAAATATAAGTAAATGTTAAAAAAAAACACAAAAAAATTAAAAAATGTGAAAAAAATATATGTAAGGTTTTAAATCTTTTGTAACTTTAAGTTAATGAATTAAATAACTAAATTATAATATCAGGTAGACTTCAGTTATTAAAATATGTCAAGCACCCACAAAATAAGTGTCAAGTTGAACTGGTCTAATATTTATTTGGAAATCTGAGTTTTAGGTGTTATATTATTAAACAGTATTTCTCAATAAAAGATTAAGTTTTCTGTTACTTCTCTGAGGGCACTAAAAATATCAACCTGAGCCTGGCTGGTGTGGCTCAGTGGTTGAGTATCCACCCAGGAACCAAGAGGTTGCTGGTTCGATTCCCAGTCATGGCACATGCCTACGTTGCGGGCTCAATCCCCAGTGCCTTGTAGGAAGGGTAGGAAGTAAAACAAAAGTATAAAATTTTAAAAATGATGAACCTTATTAAATATTGGAGTTAATACGGGGAGTCTGATTTTTCCAAAAGATAGGTAATTTAACAGGTGACAAGAACTGCATTAAACTTTGTTAACTTGAAATCTGTCATATTAAAGCAGGCCATGTGAGAATAAAAAATATTTTTAGTAAGTCTATTAATTGTGTAAATAAGATGATTGATCTATTTCTGAAGATATAACACAAGTGCCTTTGAAACATTTTACCTAAGAATAAGAAACCTGGGGGCAAGTAGAGATGGTTTGGTAAACTGGTTCTAAAGGAAGGGCATAGGAGAGTGGTACAAGGAGAATTTCAACTATCAGTGATATTTTATGATTTAAATATCTGAAACAATATTGACAAAATGTTATAATATTCAATCACTTCTAGCCCTAAATTAGTCCACCGGTATTCAAACTTAGATTAAAAAAAAGAGGCTGCCGCCGCTACCGCCGCAAGGTCTGAGCGCTGGGCTGCAGCCATGGCCTACTGCCGGCAGGAAGGGAAGGATCGAATTATATTTGTGACCAAAGAAGACCATGAAACTCCAAGCAATGCAGAGCTGGTGGCTGACGATCCCAATGACCCATACGAGGAGCATGGATTGATCCTGCCCAATGGAGACATTAACTGGAACTGCCCGTGCCTGGGGGGAATGGCTAGTGGCCCCGGTGGGGAACAAATGCCTTTCAGTTACTCTCCAAGGAAGTCTTCCCCTCTATTGTTCTGTGCACTATATTGTACAAAATAACTTATTTTGATGATCAGGGGGTTTGGCCCCTTGACATATACACTGAAAAACATGGGGTTATATGTTTGTATCTCACATAACTCCTCTACCAGTGACTGTGGCTACTGTTTTTGAATTCTCCTCTGAGATTACCTCTAAGTTTGCCACTTTGAAATAATGTGCTGAATACTCTCAGCAACTAAAAATCATTATCTAGGAGTGTCTCTTGTGAGCTGATTTATTCTGATTCATTATCTCCCTTTTAGTAGATTTTATACCCGTTTGGGAAATGAAATAGAAACAAAAACATCTTCCTTTAAAAATGCTGGAATGGGGCCATTCCTAATACAAGAGGCCAGATAATCAGATACTTATTTCTCAAAAAACATCTTGACCTTGAGTATATGAGGGTACTAGGCTTCATTTCTGATACATTTTGGTTTCCATTTTTATATTGAGGCCCAGGTTTTCTTTCTAGAGAGTGGAGCTTTGGACCCTCCGACTCACAGAGACTTTCTAAAAAGAAGAAGCTGGTTTTGCTGTTCTTGTTATTCCAGAAGCCCTGGTTGGGGCCTGTGTTCACACTGACGCTGGCTCAGCCTGTTCAGATGCAATATTCTTGAGAGGTGGGGACCTACTTGTTACCAAAGTAGCGACCAAGAAGGAAACACGAATTAAAAGGAGAGCACGGTTTTACCAAAAAAAGAAAAAAAAAGAAAAGAAAAAGGTATAACTGGTCATCCAGCAAATGTTAATGAAATACATACAGATATGCCTAAAAAAAAGAGTGACAGTCAAGAAAAAGCAAATTAGCCCTGGCCGGGTAGTTCAATAGTTAGAATGTCATCCTGATACACCAAGGTTGCGGATTTGATTCCCAGTCCAGGGCACATACAGAATCAACCAATAAATGCATAAATAAGTGGAATCACAACTCATTGTTTCTCTCTCTCTCTCTCTCTCATATCAATAAATAAGTAAATAAAAAAGAAAAGAAAAAGAAAATCGTTATTAATATCATCTTGGCACTATTAACATCTGGGCTTAAAAATATTTATAAAAAATTTAGCTTAGACTTTTATTTCTGGCAACAAGGAGTACTAGATATTAGAAAGGAATCTAAAAATGCTGAATGATTAAAAAAATGTTTAAATATACGACTAAGTTCAAAACAAGGTAAAAAGATAATTTCTCAGTTAAAAGATAAAACAGAAAAAGTTAAGTCCTGTCTCAGGAAGCAAGGAAAAAGCTGTTTTTCTTAGCCTTTGGTAGATATTGAGGAGGGCTGTTTCCCTAAGGATTTGGAATAACATAGTACCAGTTAAAAAGATGTATGTAAACACTTAAGTACATCATTATACAAAGATGCAGAAAAAGAGATCCAGAAGTATATATATTCAGGCACTATAGTGGTAATCTCTATAAGGCACTGGAACTGTTCATAATTTACATTTTTCCTAGTTTTCTATAGTAAACAACTATTGATTCTAAAATAATATAAAGCTGCTTAAAATAAATTAAAAGTAGTTCTGGGTTGGTTGTAAGAAAAGCAACAAATCTTCTCTGAAGCAAGGAATACTTGGCCCAGACACAAAAGTATTCCCATAGATAAATTTCTCCCAAAATGATCTCACAATTAAAACACACACACACCCCATTACCACCACTGCTACCACCAACCACCATGATAAATAGCAAACAGAAAATACAAGGCAGATTCGGCAAAAAGGGACACATATGTAATACCCTTTGTAATACTTTAAGCAATAAAACTTAAAAAAAAGAAAACACAAGGCAGATTCAGATCCCTACACATCTGATTTCAGATTTTGCAATTATCAGACATAAAATCTAAAATAGAAAATTTTAAATTTCTAAAAAAGTAAACGAAGAAATTAAAGAATAATTAATAAACAAAATGAAGGGGAAAAGAACATGAAAAAAGATCACACAGAGCTTCTAGAAAGGAAAGATATAATTATTGAGGGTCAAAATTAATCAGTGGGTAAAACAGTGATTTGACAAATATGCAGGGCAAATCAGCAAACTGAAAAGATAATTTGGAAAAACTTCTCAGAATTTAGCACAAGATTGAATATAGAAGAAAAAAATATATTTTTTGTTAATTTCCATTGATTTTTAGAGAGAGTGGAAGGGAGGGGGAGAGACACAGAGAGAGAAGCATCGAAGTGAGAATGATACAGTGATTGGCCTCCCACACATGTCCTGACCAGGGCCAGGGATTCACCTGCAACTGAGGTACGTGCACTTGACTGGAATTCAACCTGGACCCTTTAGTCCACAGGCCAATGCTCTAATCACTGAGCAAAACCAGCTAGGGCTAAAAGAAAATTTAATAAACATGGAGGATAGAGTTAAGAAAGCCTAGTAAACATTTAATAGAAATATTTGAAGTATATCTGGTAACAGAATAGTAAAAAGTCAATATCAAAAGAGACAAAATTAGCAGCCAGGAGTGAAAACATTTAAAAAATTAGACTGATAGCTGACTTCTCCAGAACAATAAAGAATCCTGAGACAGAAGAATAAAATCTGCAAAACACTGTGAGGAAACTCATTTGCACCCAATAACATAGCTTTAAAGTGTACAAAGGAAAACCTGACCAATCCAATCTATCATCATATTGGGAGATTTCAAGTCATCTTTCTCAATAACTGGGAGATCAAGAGACAAAATTAATCGGGCTGCAAAAGGTTTCAACAATACAATTAACAAACAAGCTTGCTCTGACTCTGCACCCAAACAATTAAAGAATACACATCTCTTTCAAGCACACATGGAATTTTAATAAAATCTGACAACATACTAGGCCAAGTCAAGTAATTTTTAACAAATGTCAAAAAGTCAGTATCATACAAACCAAATTCTTTGACCAAAATTCAACAAATTGCTTTAAAAATACCATTATTTTTGGAAATCTAAAAGCATAGTTTAAATAACTCATAACTAAAAATAGAAATCATAACAAAAATTAGGAAATTCACAGAATAAACATTTAAAAAATACAACATACTAAAATTTGTCTAATGCAGCTATAGCAATTCTTAGAGGTATATTGATAACCTTGAGAATGCTCATATTTAAATTGTGAAATATGCATCCAATTTAAGTTTTAAAAAGAACAATAAAAAGTACACTTTTGAAAGGCATAATTAGAGCAAGCTAACAAAATATTGCATTATACAAATCTCAGGAAACTGAGAACTAGTTTTAAAAATTTATAAAATATAATTATTTGTGAAATTAGATAATGATGAAGTGCTTACTTGTATCTTAACATTGCATAAAAGGAACTATGTCATTATTGTTCTATCTCCAGGAAACAGACCAGTACCTGGCATATAATAAGCATTGTTAGGTGATTGATCCTAAGTAACACGACAATGTATGTGAGCAGTTATTAAAATATAATAGATGGGGGAAAAAAACACTTACCTGATAATAACATTTTATCTGTCTCACCAAAATGGATAGATTATGAATTCTAAGTGAGGCATCATTGTTGACTTTTTTATTTACTCTCTGACTCTCCGATTTAGGATTACTGAAAGAAATTTTAAAAAATACTTTGAACTAAAATTATACTGAAATATATTATTAACCTATAGATGACTAAAAATAATCATATATTTTTCTTTAAACAAATTGTACATTCATCTACATTATGAGAGATGATTCAAAACGACAAATGATTACTTTGAAACATATTCTGTGCTTCTAATGAATAAAAATGCATCTGATATTTCTAAGACAATAGCAAAATAAACTTGAAACACAAGTCAGATGTTGCCCTTCATTCTCATTTTGTCTCTACAACTTCCTTGGATAAATAACCTCTTATTTCCTTGAATAAATATATTTTTTCCATAACCTAAAATAAAGCTATTTAAATCAAGAATGTAAACTATGGGCTAATAACCAATAAATGTCCTATCTTCTCACTGGATAATGAAGAGTGGATATGTGAACAGGCAACATCCCAGGGAAATTAAAGAATGCAGTGATGACACAGGTTAACACTTTTATCTTGGATAATCTTTATAGATTTAATGAAAGCAAAGATTTAATAACATCAAACTTAAAAGGTTCTTAAGGAAACCATCAACAAAATGAAAAGGCGACCTATGGAATGAAAAATAAAATTGCAAATCATGTATCTGATAAAGGGTTAATATCCAAAATATATAAAGAACTCCATACAACTCAATAGCAAAACACAAATAATCCAATTTTAAAATGGGCGAAGAAACTGAACAGACATTTTTCCAAAGAAGATAAACAAATGGCTAACATACAAGAAAAGGTGCTCAACACCACTAATCATCAGGCAAATTGAAACTACAATGAGATATCACCTCATACCTGTTACAATGGCTATTACATCAAAAGAGAAGAGATAACGAGTGTTGGTGTGTGGAGAAGAGGGAACCCTTGTATGCTGTTGGTGAAAATGTAAATTGGTGCAATCACTATGGAGGTTCCTCAAAAAATTAAAAATAGAACTATCATATAATCCAGCAATCCCACTTCTGAGTATATATCCAAAGGAAATGAAATCACTATTTTGAAGACATAGTTACACCCACATGTTCATTGCAGCAGTATATAAAATAGCTAAGACATAGAAACTACCAAAGTGTCTGTCAATAGATGAATGGATAAATAAAATATGGCACACACACACACACACGCACACACACACACACACACCACACGGAAACATTATTCAGGCATAAAAAAATAAAGAAATTCTGTCCTTAATGAGAAAATAGATGAACTTTGAGGGCATTATGCTAAATGAAATAAAACAGA